GAGGCGAGAGCCCGCTCTCGGTAGGATGGTGTTTTAAGCAAAGGCCGTGCAGCAGGGAACCAAACCGATCCTGTTCTGACCCTACGGGGACTTCATTTCTGCGGGAGGACAGACAACACACGAGTTCCTTATGGTAGGCGGTGGGAGGCCCTGGAAAGAAACAGAGCTGGGTAAAGGCAGTGAGTGCTGGCTCAGAGAAGGCTCGCTCAGGGCTCAGGACGCTGCCTTTACATGGCTCAGCTGTCGCCTGTCGCTGCATTATCTGGCTACATCACCTTTTCCTTAGCAACGGAACACAGAATAAGCACTACAGACCTAAATACCTTTCACCACGTTGACCACTAAGGATGGGAGGAAAGTGTTCTGCTACTATTTGAGGCCGACGCTTCTGCCAAAATGTTCATAACGAAAATAACGGTTCATACCAGTCAGATCATTTCAATGGTAAATCTAATCTGAACTTATGCTACGGAATCCAAGCTCTTTCTGAATTCCCTTCCAGGGTGCCAGAATAGCACCATTTATGCGGCACTTACATGGGCCATGCCCTCAACATGTATTAGCTCATTGAATGAGATTCTTGGTAATCAGGAAAGAGCCAGCAGATGGTCAGGAAGCTGGGCTCTGGAGCCAGACTGCTTGGCTCTACATCTGGACCCAAAGAATTCCTAGCGGGGTTATCTTAGACAAGCTACTCAACCTGTCTGAGATTGTCTCTAAAATGGGGGTAGTGATAGTAAATACCTCACAGGGTTGTTGTAAGGATTAAATTAGTTAATAAATGTATGACTCTTAGAACATATCTGGTATAAAACAATTAATAGCTGTTTTTTATTTATTATTATTATTATTCCAATTTACAGAAAAGGATATTGAGGCTCCAAGAGCTTAAGTAACTTGCCCCCAAGGTCATACAGGTGGCAATTTCAGAATCTATACCTAGTTTTTTCTGACTCCAACCTCATGCTCTTCCTTCCGTGGCCTCCTCTGTCACTGTTAATAGAAATTAATGTTTCCTCTGAAAGATCTAGGTCCAAAAACAATAGTAAGGCAGTCAGGATCACTCACAAGAAATGGGGATCATACATTGTACTGGCGAATGATTAATTAACAATCTTTATCAAGCGCTATTGTGCCCAAAGTCTTCTAATCAATAAACAGTGGTAAGTCAATGCAAGTGAATTTTCTCTTTGCCTGATTATTCACCTAATTCCTTCATGTGTTTGTTTGCATAATATTTGCTGAGCTGTGGGGGATTCACAGAAACAGTGAAATAATCCTGCTCTCGGGCTGGGAGAGGTAAAGAGCAGAAAACATATACAGATGACAAACCAGTTGAGAATCTGCTCGGATGATCAAGATGGTGGGCTTAGTCATCATGGGGCTGGAATGAGAAGAGCATTCTTGGTCCAGGGTGGGACTGGTCACAAACAGTCTAGTGTAGGCCCCGTGCGAAGTGGCCAACATTGCGCATTCTCTGAATGATGATGTCAATTCTCTGAAACAACGATGTCAAACTTAAGACCTAGAGAATAAAGGTATACTGAATAAAGCTCCCTGCAAAAACATTACTAATTCAGTGCATGTTTTGGAGGTAAACTTTTTTTTTAAGATTTTGGTTTTTTTAGGGGTGCCTGGGCAACTCAGTCAGTTAAGCGTCCGACTTCAGCTCAGGTCATGATCTCGTGGTTCATGAGTTCGAGCCCCCCATCAAGCTCTGTGCTGACAGCTTAGAGCCTGGAGCCTGCTTCGGATTCTGTGTCTCCCTTGCTCTCTGCCCCTCCCCCATTCGTGCTCTGTCTCTCAAAAATAAACAAACATTAAAAAAAAATTTTTTTTTAAATAAAAAAAAAAAGAGTTGTTAACCAGATGTGGTTGTTAACTAGATCACTGAAAGTATAAAATGAGAATTCTACAGTTCCATCGAAGTAGCAACTGCAGGAAGCAGCTCCCACCTCCAAGCCTGGGAGAACAGGGAAAGAAATTGGAATTATTAAAACTTTGAGGCTTTGAGGATTCCCTGGAGACTGGGACCCAGCCCTCTGAGCGGGGGCAGCTGGTTCATGCTGGCGTCCCTTTGAGGGAAACAATGAGGCTTGTTCTGCCAGGGTTGGAAAAATTGCAAACGGGATTCAGCTGCTACTTCAGGAAGGCAAGGAAGTGTTGCTGGAGTGTTGCTCACAGGAACAGGAAGCAGACAAGAAGCCAGAAAGTAGCAGACAGGAAGGAGCAAGTCCCTTCTTCCTCCTCCCGTCTTGCAACTTCTTTCTAGTGCTGTCTTTGGCAAAGCCTAACAGGGAACCAACTGGCAACACAAATATGAATACAATACGGGGATGAATATGGCATCGTCATCCCTTATCTTCAGCCTAAAAAGGAAAACAGACCTGGAAACCAGAAAGCACAATGAGTATGTGTGATACCAGAAGACTGTGCAGGTTTAACGGGAGCACTGATTAGGAATAATTCTACTTAAAGGAGTGGACAGGAAGGACTTCCTAGATAATTCTTCGGCTGAGCCTTCAAAGGTGGGCTTTGTTGGCCAGGTAGACATGGTCACTGAAAAGAACATTCCACACGAGAGGAGCCTGAACAAAGGAATGGGATGCATTCAGAGGTCACGAAAACAATCCATCCTGGCTGGACTGTGAGATAAGAAATGGGGGGTGTGATAAGAGATAAGGTTCATGAAGTAGATGGGTCAGATCATGAAGATTTTTCTATCCCAGCCGAATTATTTGAGCCTTCTTCTAGAAGCAGTGAAAGATTTAACCTATGCCAGTACCATTAACAGAATCGTGCTTATCAGAATTGGTTACTCTTGATTCATTAGGGAAAATAGGCTACAGGAGAGCAAAGGAGGCCAGTTAGGAGACTGTAATATTCCAGTTGTGCAATGGTGAGAACCTGATTAATGGCAGTAATAGGGATAGGGTGGTGGACACAGACAGGGAGAATACTAAGAGAGTGAAAATGAAAGAAGCAGGAATTGCAGTGAGGAAAAAACATAGGCATCTGGGTTACTGGATTAGGTCACTGGATAGGTGGTGGTGTCATCCTCCAAGATGGGAGGCTAAAGAGATTGCTACAGGTGAGGGAAGAAATTAAAAAGATAATGTCATGATGTAAGCTCTGTACACATGGCTTTAATATTTCAAGTGATGAGAATATTATTATTTACAAGGTGGTTGAGTTGAAGTCATCTTTAATAGGACTCTACAGTCCAGATGACATCAACTGCTGCCTTCCTAAAAAGGTATTTCTCACTAAAAAGATGGAAATAGTTCAGTAATTCCAGGAAAGATCTCTGAGATCTTTGATACTTACAGAAGATGTGCTCATCATTTCCCATATTAAAATGTTTTCCCTCCTGTCCACGTGATGATGTTGAGACCTGTGTTGGCGATATGGCAGATGACCACAAAGATTGCCATGTTAATGGATTTGTCCTGGTGCTTAGTAACTAATTCCTTAATGTGATTTCTGACCTGAAATCTCCCCTTAAGTAGGTGTCCGGGAAATTATTTTTGTAATATTTTACTTTGTGCCTGAAGTGAATTCAAATCTCGGGTGATGATGTTATTGCTATTTTTAAATTGTTGGAAAGAATACCTGTTGGGTTTTAGTCAGTTACCGTCATGATTATGATTAGAGCCTATATTTTTCTTTTTTCCGTAACTTCTGTGTTGATATAGCAAATATACACATAGATATCATAGAAAGCTAGCACTACAATAGAATTGCTCTTTTTGAGGATCTGTAGAAGACCTCCTTTTATTCATTCAAATTATCTTCCTTTAATGCAGTATTATTGCTTGAAAGGGAGAGATGAGGAAATTCATGGGGTCCGAAGATGTCCCAGAAGCACCAGGGGGGCCATCTCATCTGTCTTTTCCCTCTTCCTTTCTGACTTCCCTTCACATACATTTTCATCCACTCACCCATTTGGGACTACTCTCTCTGCGAAGCCCAGCTCAGAATCACCTCTTTCTCCCCAGCTGCCCAAGCCCACAGCAATCCTCTAAGCTCCCACACCATTAGGACTGTAATTCCTTTAACCCTTAAGTGTCAATATTGGGCATGCTATAGCACCTTTCCATGTGCATAACCTGTCTTCCTAAGTAGAGTATAAATCTTAGGAGGACAGAGACTTTCTCATTTACCTCTTTATGTATTTAGTGCATACATTGCTTTAATGATAACCTTGACCTCTCTGTTATTCCAGGCTAAGCCCTAGAAGTCATCAGATATTTACTTCATAGGTAATTTCTGTCCTTCCCACTATTTATACTCATGCTTCCTTGTAGCTCTTAGAGAATCTTGCCTCAGTACTCAGCTTGAGTAAGATGCTTTCTTTAATCACTCTGTTCATCTCATTTATTTCTCCCCATAGGTGAGACTCTTTTTAATTTGCACCATATTTATTAACTCTCTGTCTCCCAGTGATACAGCACGCACATCTCAAGGCTACACACAGCCTTGATAAATGGGATACATGAGTGCTCTCAGAAGGCAACGAGCTGCCATAAAAGTTAATATGTTTAGTTCATAACGAAAAAATCTTCCCCCACACAACGGTAGCTTTGAAATTGGCATATTCACTTTATGACCTTGTTTATTAACCAAAATGATGCTTTGCTTGATCTCTGAAATTTGTTTAGGGTCATTAGGAAAGGACTCCAGAGTGTCACTCACTGAAAAACGCTAGCCTTGTACACAAACCTTGGAAATAAAGACTAAGAAAAACGCTGTTTTTATTTCCTCTAGGGTGTAATTTCTACTCTCTACTCAGTTAGTATCTGACTGTTTCTAAAGTAGTTTGCATTTGCAGATTTTCCAAGCCTCTCAGAAAGACTGTATTAATTTATCACCCCTGCTTTGGAGAAGGGGGCACAATTACCGATGGTAGAGACTATTTGGGGACATAATGGTTCCTTAAAAAAGTCACCATCAGAACTGAGCTCCCATACTACACTATTGAACATTATTTTCCTTTTTAGGTAGTTCCCTCTGCCCTGGAAAATTAGAAGAGAAGTGTACTATCCTCCCTATCTTGTGAGTTGCTGACTGTCAAGAATGGAAAGAATTTGAAAAAGCAGCTGAGAAAATGTGAGAAAACCTGTTTTCTGATCACTATTTCTATATCCTCAGGTGCTTTATCTCTGTTACAGAATGGTGAATGGGAAAAATAGAATTTTTTGCTAATTCCTCCTTACATTGGCATGGCCACAAACCCCCTACTCAACACCACTTTGCTGTCACAAACATGATATCTTACCTTTGCTTCGAACCTTGGCTTTTAGCTAGATTTTTTCCCCCTCCACTTATATTTTAACTGAACATTGTCTATGTGCCAGAGGATGTGGTAGAAGATTATTTTCCAATAAGGATGTAAAATTGGCACCATTAACTATGTTAGTGATGCCTTCTGGGTACACCGACACCATTATCAATTTGTACCTATTCAATGATGAGGTTGAATTTGTTAAATCCCGGGGTGGTTTGAATTTCAGAGAAGGTTGATCAGTGGCTCGGTGTTGTCCTGGATGACCTGATTTTTCTGTCTTTGAAGGGGAAGCATCATCATAAGGCTGTCTTCCCTCATGGTGTCAACATGGCTGCAGCAGTTCCAAGCTTCAGGTCCACACAGCACACCAACCAGAAGAGAGTACTTTTCTATCCAAGCATTTTTAAAAAGGCTCTGTGGCCACGTCTGAGCTGACTGGGGTTAGGCTGATGGGCTGTGCTGATTGGCCTAAGCACATAAGAACCTCTCCCTGGTATTTTACCTGTCTATAGTACTCATTTCTTTTTTATTATATCCTGTCACCCCAGGCCAGTCTTTATTATAGCATGCCTGGTTACTTGAGAATTTCTCACCTAAACTCAGAGATGTCTCTTCTCCATTCAGTCTATATTCACTTATTTAGGTGTTGTTTGCATTTCTCTTCTATGTTATCCCCTTTTCATCTTTATTCTTCTTCGTTGACATGTCCTGAGATTCTATTTACATTTCACTATTCTTTCCAGTACAGATTAGACCTTCTCTCTCCTGCTGGCAGAATTATTCCTCCATCTCCTTTTTTTCTCAGCAAGTTTACCTCAGCCACCTGCTAATTCCACCTTAGTACTCCCAAAACACACTCATCCACCTCTACTTACCCATCAAGATATAAAAATCTCATGCCAGAACACAGACAAATGGCACCAAGACTAGACATTCCATATTGTAGACTTAAATGTGAACTGTATTTACACTTCAAAAATGGCCATGTTATGTTTCTTCCACTTTATTACCTTTGCACCTAAAATTTGACCAGCACTGGCTCAACATCTCTTTTCAACAAGTATGCAAATCAACAAAAACCCAGATGTTTGAATTTTGAATTCAGGAGCTTGAATGAAACCACAAGTCTCACAGTGAAACCTAGTCAGTATGAATAGAATGCAATGTGGGGTGTGTAAATTATCTTGGTATTCCAGTAGCCCTGAGGAGTTGAGTTGTTTATCTGATTCTCAAGATTGGGACCATCCCTCTCAGAGTGTTTGACTCCTGACAGACATTTTTGGTGACCAGACATTTTTCAAAACTTATCATTATTATTATTACATAGGAAGTGCTCCATCCGTATACTTTTCTGATTTTGGCTCACTTCAGTCAGTGAATTCTTCCCAAGAACACTTTCCCAATCATTCCAAAAGCAGTTCTCTGAAAAATCTATTTTAGAGACATAGTTAGAAATGATAGAAGTCAAGAACCTGTTAGAAAGAACAGATGGTTACATTCTGTGAGAAACAAATGTTTTAAAAACTTCTTCTATTCAAAGCATTAACCAACAGATACTGGCCCAACCCCTAGTTGTTGCTGGGACCTCTGTCATTTGGTTCTTTGCTAACATTGATATGAAAGATTTTGCCTCATTGTAAAAAAAAAAATCTTTATTAGTCCATTAAGATACAATGTTGTCAAACAGGGGCTTGAATGGATGTATGAATGGACAGACAGTTGGATGGACATGCCATAAAGCAAATAACCTAAAATATTACTGGTAGAATCTAGGTGGTGTGTTTATGGGTGCTCACTGTCTGATTCTTTTAATTTTTCTATATGTTTGAAATTTTAAAAAATGTAACGATGGAGAAAAAACAGGATGCTCACCAATGAGATGATTCAGATTAGCACATTAGTATGGACAGACCATAGAAAGATGCCTATAAGCAATGGGGAGAAATCTATATAAACACAGGCATTATGGGGAAAGGTTGGCAGTCACTGGGCAGAATAAGAGGGAGGTTAACATCAGATAGTTCCTGTGAGAGACTATCAGGAGGTAGACAATAGAAACAGCCAGTGGAGGATAAATTCTATGCAATATCATTTCTTATACTACTATTAAATGCCCCTTTTCTGAATGTTTTAACAAAAGGGAAGAGAAAGCCCTGACTCCTGTGTCAGGTGCTTTGCCTAAACTACCTCCTTTACTTTTTTTTTTTAATTTTTTTTTAACGTTTATTTATTTTTGAGACAGAGAGAGACACAGCATGAATGGGGGAGGGGCAGAGAGAGAGGGAGACACAGAATCGGAAGCAGGCTCCAGGCTCTGAGCCCTCAGCCCAGAGCCCAACACGGGGCTCGAACTCGCGGACCGCGAGATCATGACCTGAGCTGAAGTCGGACGTTTAACCAACTGAGCCACCCAGGCGCCCCTCTCCTTTACTTTTTGTAGCATTCATGAAACCACGTTTTATAGTGTTTGTTTCCTTTTTGCCTTTACAGCATCCCTTACCCCATTTTCAGGTAAAATCACACCAGTTTTCCTTGGGAGATGAACTCTCCATCACTGAATGAATACTTGATGACCTACCCTACTGAATTAAAGGTGTGGAAAGTAACATGAGCCAGACCAGGTAGGCACCCTCTCCTGGGAATCTGAGTCTTGAGCAGTCAGCCACGGATGGAAGATGGTTGGAACTGACAACATGGACGCCTTGAAGAATGCTTTCATTAGTTGTTACTATCTCCACAACTCCCTGGAATCCGGTCATTTTGATTGGCTCGTGTTTCTTCTGTTGCTTGCAAAAAAGAGCTCTAACTAGCTGAGGCAAGGCAGTTCCCATTTCAGAAATAAGGAAACCTAAGCTCAGAGGGATTAAGTGTTTTGGCTCAGATCATCATTTGATATTTGTCACCAAGTCTCTGATTTCAAAACCTGTCTTCTATACTTATTCTACCATGCTTTCTCAAATGCTGCAGACTGGATTCAAATCTTGTCTAGCTAGGTAAGTTTGGGAAAGCTGTGTGCCAATTTCTAAATGCCAATTTCCTGATCTCTAAAACAGAGTAACAATAGTCATGCATACCATAAAGTTATAGTAAGGATAAAATAAGTAATTTGTGTGAGAAGTTTGGGCACAGTGCCTGGAACATAATAAGTGATTAGTAAATGTTAGTTGCTCTGATGATGATGGCAATGATGATGATGGTATCAGTGAGAGTTCCAGCAAGAAAAAGGGGATATTTGAAGAGATTAATAAAGGGGCTACTTAGAAAAGTAAAGGCAAGGTTAAGGAAACCCAGAAAGGGTTAGGTGAAGGACCCCAGGAAACTGTAGAAACAACAGCAAGCTGTAGACCCAGGCTGCCCAGCATGGGCTGGGATCTCTGGCTATGTTTCGAAAATAGTGGCTGTGGCAAATGTAGTCAACTGTAGCCCTGCAAGGAGGGAGGCAGGAAAGTAAATCCCCTGCCCTTTCTCTCCCAGCTCATCCTCTAATCTTCCGCCAGTGCCTTAAATTGGCCAAACCTAGCCAGAAGCCAGAGGACAAGGAAGCCTGGTTGATGCTGTCTATAAAGATCAGCTTCTCAGGACACAAGGCAGGGTGGAGAAAAATGGAAACACGCTTTCACCTTAAGCCACACTTTGCCTCAGCATCCTTTCATCTGAGTAAAAAAAAAAAAAAACAACAACTTACATCCTCAATACAGAGGACCCACAGCTACCATTCATTGTGGGAGATATGAATTCAGCCAAAATCTCACCTAAACGTCAGATGTCAGCCATTACCAGTGCCTTTTATATAAGGTTTCAGAGAAATAGAGGGGGAAAAATGACCAATATAAAACAGTGGCACAGTGCTGTTTCTGAGGCTAATGTGAGGACTAAGTGGAGAGGCATGGCTTCTTTCATCTATCACCAATTCTCTGTTCTCCAACCCCTAAACTGGATCGGGGTGCTTATATGCAAGAAAGTTCTAAGACAATTTGGGGGTTCAGGGTTCTTTGTCTTTTCTGCATCTGCCCGAATACTCCCAGCCCATGTCTCAAAGGTAGGCACTATTTTTTTTAATTTTTATTTATTTTTGAAGGAGAGAGAGAATGTGTGAGCAGAGGAGGGGCAAAGAGAGAGGGAGACACAGAATTTGAATCGGGCTCCAGGCTCTGAGCCGTCAGCATAGAGCCCGACGCAGGGCTTGAACTCATGAATGGTGAGATCAGGACCTGAGCCAAAGTCGGACGCTTAACCAACAGAGCCACCCAGGTGCCCCCAGGCATTGTTTAAAGTTTATACCCTGACTGTATCTCCAAAGCTTTAAATCAGTACTTTTATCTGTGTACATTATTTAGGACTGACAGAAAAAGCCAACTCACCCCACTGTCTTGAAAATTACCATTGTCATCATAGCACCTAAGGACCACAGCTAAATGATTTTTTAATACCTTGCCCTTCACCTGCATAGCATCCCAATCCCTGTTACTAGGAATAATTTTAATAATATACTATGGATTATACATATTCCATTTTCTTACATCAAGAAAGTTCTATGTTCTGGGGTACCTGGGTGGCTCAGTAGGTTAAGTCTCAGACTCTTGGTTTCTACTCAGGTCATGAATTCATGGTTTGTGGGTTCGAGCCCCACATCTGGTTCTGCAGCTGACAGCATGAAACCTGCTTAGGATTCTCTCTCTCTCTCTCTCTCTCTCTCTCTTCTCTCCGCCCCCCCCCCTGCACTGTCTCTGTCTCTCTCAAAATAAATAAATAAACTTAAAAAAAAAAAGAAGAAAGTTCTATGTTCTCATCGAATGTGTTAGTAACCTGTATCAGTTTCCTATTGCTACTATAATAAATTACCATGAACTTATTGACCTAAAACAACACATATTTATTATCTTACAACTCTGTAGGTCAAAACTCTGAGACGGGTCTCACTGGGCTAAAATCAAGGTATCAGCAGGACTGTATCCTTGCTGAAGACTCTAGGGAAGCATCTCTTTCCATGACTTTTCCATTTCTAGGAACTGGCTGCATTTCATGGCTCATGACGCCCTTCCATGTCCAAAGTCAGAAACAGCTGGTCAGTCTTTCTTACCTCACACCAGTCTGGCACTGATTCCTCTTCTGCCTTCCTCTTCCACTTTCAGGATCCTTGTGATTGCATTGGGCCCACCCAGGATAATCTTCCTATCTTGAGGTCAACTGATAGGCAACCTTAATTCTATCTGCCACCTTAACTGTCCTTTACCACCTAACATGTTCACAGATCCCAGGGATTAAGATGTGGACATTTTGGGGAGGACGTCCTTCTGCCTTCCACATGATACAATCCCAATGTACAATTTGGGAGATCTATTTCTTGAGGCCATTCATAGTGGGATCACTGCCATCAGTCTGGGTCCTGTCAGAAAAGAAATAGCACATTTAAAAGTGATGATTGGAGGCACCGGGGTGGCTCAGTCGGTTAAACATGTTCAGGTCATGATCTCACCGTTCGTGGGTTCGAGCCACACGTCAGGTTCTGTGCTGACAGCTAGGAGCCTGGAGCTTGCTTCCGATTCTGTCTCTCCCTCTCTCTCTGCCACTCTCCCACTCATGCTCTGTCTCTCTCTCTCCCTCTTTCTCTCTCTCTCTCAAAAGTAAATAAACATTAAAAATTAAAAACAAAACCAAAAGCCATGATTGGAAAATAGTTAATGAAGAGGCAAAGATGTGGGCAGGGTTAAATGAAATCAACAAGGGATAATAAAGCTCCCTAAGTACAATAATAGCAGAAAGGGGCAAGGATTGGAGGAAGCAGTTACCAAAGCCAGGTAAGGGCTTTGGCCTTAGGTGGAGAAACACGGCCAGTGCCAAGTCATGGCCCAGGAGGGAAGGAGCCAGGGGAATAAATACCCTAATCTCTCTTTGCTTCCACCCTTTGATCTCCTCCCAGAACTGTCCATGGACTAAACCTGCCCAATCCGGAAGGCAAGGGAGCAAGGCTATGTGGCCAATAAAAATCAGTAACTCAGGACACAGAGCAGGTGGAGAAAGGTAAAGGACTGGTCTGTTGGGGCAGACTCTACACACATACTATTTAGTTAAATAATTCTTACTGGAGGAGAAGTGGAATCTACCACCCAGCAGGACATTCGTATTTTAAAGTAGCCAGTTTAGCCCAAATTAATCCCAAATCCCAAGTGGAATTTATGGGGAAATTTTTTTGAGCTGCAAGGCCTAAAGGAAGTCCTATGTGTGAAATTGCACTATAGGACGTATATTTTATACAACTAATAAAAATAAAGAGGTACCATATATACACAGAACTATATGGAGCAGGGAGGATTTCATTGGGTCACAGTGATGAAGCACTGATCCAAAGGGTTTAGCCATGAAGGAATCATAACTTTCCTATCATTTCATCATTTCATCAGAGGTGGTCGTCATCACATCCTGGACAAAATGTTAGTCTGGCAGGGTATGTGGTTTATATATCGCTTTTCATCTTGCCAGTGGTTACCCAGATGCCATTTTTGCAATACCTCCAATGAAGGTGTAGGTCCAAAAGTAGAGAAAGCAAAGAAACCATTATATGTGTGTCAGTCACTCACATGCCATGTTCATGAAAAAAATTACAAACTAAACAAATAAAAACCACCAGCTTGGCTGAATACTGGCTCAGGGGAAAGAGTTTTCCTCACAGTGGAGAAATTTCTAGTGAAGGAGAGAGACACAGTTGTAGAGGAAAGTACATTTTAGCAAATGGGAAAATCTTCCAAGGAAAACTCAATGCAGAAGAAATTCTTTTTCCTTCCTCAGAACACAGAGGGCTATAAATTCCTGCCTCCAAAATGTCTGGAAGGAAAGGACCTCACAGAGAGCAGTTGCTCTCTTTTTCACAGTGAAGTTCAGGAAGAATGGCACAGCCAAGGCCCTGCATTACATTGTCTATGGAATAATTTCATTGGTAAAGAAATAGCATTTAGACGTACAGCAACTGAAGTCTGGATAATTGAGGTCAAGGTAATCTTCTTCACTTGGTTTTTTTTTAAAAAAGGTTGAGAACAATACAGGCTTCTTATTCTGAAACATTTAAGCAGTACAGAAGAATATAAAGCGAAAAGCAAAAGTTTTCCCTTTCTTTCTCCCTCTCTTGACTTTCCTCCTTCTTTCCCTTTCTCCCCTCCACCTCGAGATCTCGAGATCTCGAGATGTGTGTGTGTGTGTGTGTGTGTGTGTGTGTGTGTGTGTGTATCCATCTGTCTTTCTCCAGCCACTTATACACACCTTTTGGGGGACAGCTAGCAGTCTGTCAAACACACTTTAACAAAGAAGGAATTTACAGAAGGCTATTGGGTAGCTCACAGGATTATCAGGAGGACTTGAAAACCAGGAACAGAAAAGCAGGCAAACACCTAAGGGTTCCCAGACAGCTGTGGGCACAACCAAGTCCAGAAAGGGCCCATGTACTGTCAGCGCCACCCTGGCGCGTGTTGCAAATACGTCTGAAGGGGCCATCACTGGACACTGAACTGCTCTTGTTGCATTTTCCAGTCCTCTACTGTTGTACAAATGGTCACTATTATTTCTCCATCTTCACATCACAACCTTCCTGTCTGCAGTCTTGGGTAAGAGAGTTGGATTGACGAGACTC